TCATACCATGGAATACAAGGGGGGGGGGGGGGGGAGGGATGAAATAAAAAAAAAAAAGTTGGCAACTTATGGCCCAGGGGCCAAGTCCAGCTCACTGCCTGTTTTTGTAAATAAAGTTTTATCAGAACACAGCGCCCATTTGTTTGTTTATCCCCTTTAGTTGCTTTCCTGCTGCAGTGGCAGAGTGGAATAGTTGCCACAGAGAACTTAACAGCTGCAAAAGCTGCAGCATCTAAAATATTCACTGTCTGGCCGTTTACAGGAAAAGGTTGCCAACCCTTGTTCTAAAATATGACCAAAGTATAGTAAAATGCCTTATATATAGTTAACAACCATTGCATTAAGAATGTAAAAACGTCTAAAACATTGATTTCTCAACAATTAATATGCTCTCAACATGCATTTTTTTTCTGAAATGTGGCTTTTTTTTTTCCTTTTTTATCACCAAGAACATCTGCGACACATCCCCTTTGTTGCTGGCTTTTCAGAACCTCTACAGAAGTTTCTGACATTCTACCGATTGTCTTGTAACTTGACACTTTCTCCTCATGCTTTTAATTGAAAATGTTGTATTACATTTTAGAGCATGTCATGGACATTTTTATAAGCAACAAGCAAAAACGTTTGACTTAGAAATAAGTATTTCCTGCAAAATTTGGGTATTAAAAGCCAAGAGGCAGTCAACTAAGAAAATGTCCACTGGATCTACATTCCCTGGCGTTGGCTCGTATTTGACTTCTTAGAGGCTCAGTGTTGTCATCCATAAAACGGAAATCGGACCGCCTCACAGGGCCATGTGAAGATAAAGTAAGGAAAGATACACCTGACATGTTTTGGCAACACATTAGCTGCCTGCTCCCTTCCTTCTTTCTACCCTTAGGTTAATTAGAGGAGCAAACAATCACAACTATAACGTATCTTCAGGGATTTTTCCAAATCTGCAAATTTATGTGTGGTGTTTCCGAAATTCAAGTATAAGTTTGGAACCAGGTTGAAATGAGAAAGGTCTGTGTATTCGGGTAAGAGATACAAACTGGCAAATGTAATAAGCATTCCTGAGTCTCAGAGGCTTAACTTAGTGCAGGTATACTTGTGAGGCACCTCCGTCTGGTGGCTGGTGGGGAACAAGTGTGGTGGTCTGCTCCATGTGGTATTCCAGAGACCTTGGCTTATCCCGCCCAGTGACTCCACCATCTTGTAGGACTTGGAGCTCTGCCCTGGACCTCTGGGCTCACAACCAAGGGAAGAGAGAGGGCATTAGGGATGGGTCCGAGGCTCCTGGGTCAGGATGAAAGTAACATAGCAACTTCCATCTGTTTGGCTGTAACTCAGCCGCAAGGACCCACCTAACTGGAAATACATCCCAGCTGTGTACGCCCAGGAAGAAGGGAGAGATCTGATGAGCATTCAGTGAGTCTCTGCCACAGACTGACCACATCTTCTTGGGTTATTATGGAGGATACATGCTTCCCAGGCATAAAAGGCACAAAGATGCCAGTAATCTGAGAACCTGTCTTTAACAGTTACCCACGTAAAGAACATTTGGAGACAGTAATGCTGGGTAGAGACAGTTAATCTGTATACGTGTTTAAATATATTTTGAAAATTAGCCTGTGATCTGAATCTGCTTCCCACATGTTGTGTGCCATTTCCATACTTTGGCATTCTAAAGTCACAGATCTATCACAGAGTAAGTTTAGAGATAGATACTTAAGAAATGTTGCATTCAGTGACATTTTCATTACCAAAGTGGTCTACGTGGGCTCAGATTTATTTTGCTATCCTATAAAAGCAGAAGTCGTACGCAGTGTTGAGTGGAATTTTTACCCACGAGGGCAGATAGGACATTTGTTGAAATACTGCCATTGTTATTTGATTCAAAGTGTGCGTCTTACAATGAACCACATCAGGACCATTTTCAATTTTTTAATACCTCTCATGGATCTAAGCACACCTTATTTAAGTTATTCATTTTAAATTATGATTATATGAATATTTTAGGATTATAATCACCATTAAATGAAGGACAAAATTTATCATACCAAAATAGAAATTTAATTTAAAGTAGAAAGAACTTGATTGCAAGGTTTAGCAGACTAGAAACAAGACATAAGGAGGATATTAAAGAACATTTCTAAAAAGACCCTCAGTAGTACAGATTTACAACAGATTTGGAAAAAACACAGTTGCATTCAGTGATGTTTGTGAAGATCATATTTGAGACAGTCTCATCAAAGATCAAACTTCTGTAAGATTGAAAAAGCACACTAAAGCAAACAAACCTTTTGGTCATTCCACGGAAAAACTAACTTCAAAAGAAATCTTCATTCAGTGCCATAAAGTTGGTGAAGTTTATTTGAGGTATAAGTTTCTCTTGACCTTAAGGTGATCCTGTGGCTTTTTGGTCAAGAGTCAAGATTGTATATGGCCATAGGTGATTAAAAATATCCCTTTCACTTTTCTTGGTATTCACAGCATTTCCTACTACCTGTCACTTTGTCCTTGACGAAATTTGAGACTGAAAACAAGTTGACAAGGATGGTTTTCCAATCAGTTGTTCCTCATTTTTTCTCGGGTACTCCTTTGTTGTATTCGAGTTCAGATTTACTATTCATGAGCCACATTTTAATCAGTGACCATATCCGACAAATGGAAGCTAAGCGCTGGTTAGTATGTTGAAAATAAACACGGGGGCTCTCATTAATGTCTCTGTCTGAATAATTAGTTGAGCATCGTGTACCGAGCAGCGGCGAAGGCAAGCTGGCTTTTCACTGGAACGACAGGCTGACAGCCACGTCCCGGAGTGTGGTCATTAGTGTGTCCCACCATCAATGTCATGTTACTGTGTCAAATTAGTTAGTGTCCCCTTAGGAGAGATGCCGGACCTACAAATTATCCTCCCACATCCCTGGAAACCGTGTTTGCGAAACCTGCGATCAAGTGTGGGCAAATTATTAACACGGCTCATAAATTAACTAGTTTACAGGCTTATAACATTTTACAAGTAGATAATAAAGGGTAGAAAAGTTTTCCAGTTGCTTTGCGCTGATGTGAGGGCTGTGATCTGCCGACGTTTCCTGGAGGAGCCCACAGCTGATAGATTTTCAGGAGGAGCGAGCATACACATGGGGTGTCAGAACGAATGTTTGGAAAATGTAGACTCTGAAGGGAAGCCAGTGTAAATCCATTGGAAACAATATAATTAACTTCGTTATCTCACTGCTCTGAGAAGTCCATGACAAGGGTCCTCTTTCTTGTGGTGGCAGTTGCTCATTAATTAGGTCACCAATTAAGTTTGAACTTTGCCAACTGAAATTACCTGGAAAAATATTTTTGATGCTTTCCTATCGTGCTCTTAAGCTGCCTCGCTGAAGGAGAATAACGCTAACACAGCATATTAAACTCATATAGGAATGACGATTCTTAGGCCGTAATGTATTTGACAAACAGTTCACACTCACATCGATACCTGATACCTAGAAAACAGAGTGTGGACCAATCTGTCCTGAGTTTATCTCCTATCAAGAAAAGGCACCCACTGGGAGCACCACCACTTAACAGTCTGCTGAGCCCCAGTAGACAGACAGCCCACGTAGTTTCCAGAGATACACGACTATTCAAATCATAAAACTTCATACATCTCCTTTTTGGTTTCAACTTCTCTGTCTGATTAGAATACATGTACATTCATGGAGTGTTGTCTGAGTTTACTTTTGCAAGGGAACAGCACACACACACACAGGGAAGAGGTCGTGCTTTTTGTTCATCCTGTAGTTGCATTTCCCTACCTCACAGCGGGTGCCTTCTGTTATCTTCAGGGCTGTCCAGGTGTCATTATCATCTCAAGGATCTAAGCAGAAAAGGCCTGGCATGTAAAACCTTGCTACTGACTGCTATTCACAAAAACTTGCTGAAACTGCTTGAGGATGAGCTGACTTGTCTGTCAGCAACTTCAACTTACTTGGCATTGTATTTGGTAAATACTCATAACCCAACTAAGCCGTGAAAACGCATAGCCTTAGCACACATGAGCACATGCACAGGCTGACTGTTTGCGTGAGAGGGCTGTTTCACAGCCTCCTTCTGCATTTTTTTTTTTAATTAATTAATTACTGTATTTATTTTGGGCTGTGTTGGGTCTTCGTTTCTGTGCGAGGGCTTTCTCTAGTTGTGGCAAGCGGGGGCCACTCTTCATCGCGGTGCGCGGGCCTCTCACTGTTGGGGCCTCTTTTGTTGCGGAGCACAGGCTCCAGACGTGCAGGCTCAGTAGTTGTGGCTCACGGGCCCAGTTGCTCCGCGGCATGTGGGATCTTCCCAGACCAGGGCTCGAACCCGTGTCCCCTGCATTAGCAGGCAGATTCTCAACCACTGCGCCACCAGGGAAGCCCCCCTCCTTCTGCATTTGAAGTGCAGTGGAAAAAGAACTGTAACCTTTGGGGAGTAAGATTTTGTGTTTGCCTGGCAGGTGAGATAGCTTGTCTTTTTTTTTTTTAATAAGGTGATGATGTATGTGTGTGTGCGTGTGCGTATACGTTTGCGTGTGTATTTCCTCCGGTCGCTTGTACTGAATGCACTGAGAGAGACTGAAGACCAAAACCCAAAGGAAAGTCTTCACTGGGACTCAGGGATCATCTTACCCATATTTCTCAGAATGAGATAACATTGTAATTCCTAGAAGTTATCCTCAAAAATAAGAACTGTTGGAAGTTAAAGGAACCAGACTTCCTAAGTGAATGACAGTGGCTTCAAGAGTAGCAGTTTTGCTTGACTCTGTAACATCTTTGTGCTACAATTCTATAACACTGAACTCAAATTATGAGCTACATGGAATGCTGATTCTAGAAGGGAAAGGACAAAATAGATACACAGATACATGATTATATATTGAATGTAAAAGCACGGTGTCAATAAGGAAGACCTAAGGCTTACGTGAATGTGTTACTTTTGAGGCAACACAGTTTGCCGCTTCTCTTAACCTCTTCTGTTCTTTTTGCTTGCAGTGTCACTCTGTGTGTTGCAGTCCTGTGGCATTATGCATGCCCCCAACCAGTGACCTCCGGACTTTTTATGGCTGTGAGACACGTTAAAAGTTCAGGGTGAGTGGCAAACAGCACTTACATTGTGTACCGATTAAAAGTTGCCATCCACCTTTGCAGGTGACACGATACTGGATATAGTAATCCCTCAGAAGATAATGGAATTCCCCATTATCAA